AATTGTCCCATATCATAGGTGCGCGCGAATCCCGAGACTTACGGTCTCCGTCCCCAATTATGGCTCCTGGCCATACTGATAGTAATAACAAACTAAGAAAAAACTACAAAAATTACGACCCTTTACAAAATTGCTGTAAAAAGATACGAAGTGATCGCGCAGAAATGACAAATTCTACAACATAATTTTGTTGGAGATAGGAAAATCTTTTATCTATCGAAATTTGAATGAAATCGGACAAACAGCTATTGAGTTGTAACTCTTCGAAGTGTTCCCATGCTGGGAAAACAAAGTTTCGACGTGACATCAATTAGTTGTTAATCGATGAGAATTTTTTTCCTCCGGAACAAAACTGGTATCCATTTTCTCGGTAAATATGTACTATTTTGGAATTTTATTTTTCATTGTTTGAAAGTTCATAGCTCAACGGAGGAAAAGACTAGATATACTATTTCAAAAAGAGTGCGAGGGTTTCATCAGGTTTCCAAAGGCGAGAAAACATTTGAAACCATGAGGCCGCAGGCCGAGTAGTTTTATTGTTTTCGAGCCTTTGGAAACCAAGAGTTTTTGAAATCATCTCCACTAAAGAAAATTATCATTTGAATAAGTTTTATCAATTCAAATATTGTATTTGAGACGTGAAAATGTCATTCTATCACCTTATTGCTGCTCTGTGACAATTTTTGAATGTTCATCAATGTCACGTTGCCTAGCTGTTTGTCAGTTCTGAGCGAACACGTTGCTTTGCAAAGCAAATGGCAGAGACCTCCTAAAACTCGCGAAGAAAAGGAAAAGTGTGTAGCCAGCGCTATTCCGAGGTAACGTGCGCGTCTAGTCTGTTAAATGCAGGGGTAGATAATAAATTAGTACGCCTTAGAACTGGGAATTTCTAACGTTAGTGCCATTTTAGGTCGGAAGTGTACAGTAAGGTGAAAAGCGAACCAAAAGATGAAGTCGCCACCATTGAGCAAGAATTTAAATTTAGTAAAAGAATAGACCTTTCTGTTTTGGGGAGTTCAATAACTGTACCTTTACATTTAACGTCAGCAGTAAATAATTTAGCCTTAGTTAAAGTTTGTTTTGTAAAATGTGTGATTACTGATAAAGTGCAAGTGTGAGATCCATGCGTGTTACTGCACACGGCATTCACTTCACAGCCGTGAGAGTTTGTAGAGCATTCGTCGTTGTCTAAAACAGAGTTAAAGGAATAAATATCGAACTAAAGTGTTACTTTAGTACAGTTTTAACGCTTCTGTTGTTGTGTTGTTAACAATAGCCTCCAGGCAGCTATGTTTACCGCAGAGAAATAGCTCGTTTCCATTAGACTAAATTTGAAATTCAGCTTACCTTGCCTCTGTTCTCTGATAGAGCCGCTGTTTTAGCCAATCAGTGCGCGCGTTATATGGAAACTTTGTTACAGTTTAAGAATATAAAGATAAGTTTAGTTCAATGGTTCATGTCATAGTGTTAATTACGATGACTCAGTTAAGCTGACAACGGAAGCATGCCAAAACTTTGGGAGAAACGTACCACTGCAAGTTCTACCATCTCCGGAATATCCAGCTTTACATGTGCAATGGTGAGATCTATGCGTGTTACTGCACACAGCATTCACGTCACAGCGGTGAGAGTTTATAGAGCATTCGTCGTTGTCTAAAACAGGGTCAAAAGAATAAATATCGTACTAAAGTGGCGAAAGTCGCCGGCGGAAACATTTTCTAAAAAACCATGCTCAACTACGATTTTAAACTAACTACTCGCAACAGTTTCCTTGGCAGTGCAGTTACGTTTTTTGGCGGGTGAATACCACCACTCTTAATCAAGTGATGTTAGAGTACTGGTTTCACAAGAATGCCTAATTATCAATTTGACATCCGTTTTTCATGCGTCTGTCCTGTGACTGGTCATAAATTTCGTCACAACCCTGTAAAAGTTGCTGGACCCCCAGACTACTTTGACAATTTAGTAAAGAAATTCAAAGTTTTGAAACATTTAGGTGAAACTGGGTTCAGACTCTTCGAAGCCATGTCAATATTTCAAAAACTAACCACCTCCTACACATCCTCAGAATTTTTTAAAGGTGCACGTTATCACGCTGATTACTATTCCACGCCTTCTTTACCAGTTATTGAGCATTATTTTGCGTGATACCACCATTGTAATCTCCTCATCAGTGGTGGTGGTGGTGGCGGTGTTCGTGGTGGTAGTAGTAGTAGTGGTGGTAGTGGTGATAGTAGTGGTGGTGGTAGTGATGTTGCTGGTAGTAGTGGTGTTAGTAGTAGTAGTAGTTGTGTTAGTAGAAGTGGTTGTGGTAGTAGTGGTGGTATTAGTAGTGATGGTGGTAGTGGTGGTGGTAGTGATGGTAGTAGTGTACTGGTAGTGGTGGTGGTGGTTGTAGTGGCGGTGGTAGTTGTAGTGGTGGTTGTAGTAGTAGTGGTGGTGGTGGTAGTGGTGGTGGTAGTGGT